AATCATTTTTGTATAACCCGGTGTAAATATAAGGTGACCATTCGTCCCGGATTTCTAACTTGTGTCGCTTTTATTTTCAATTTTCCGAAAATTAACAAAAATTTTGAAAATAATCTTCTTGACTGTTTGGAATAAGTGCTAGTTATTTTCAAATAATTATGAAGAAACTTGAACCAAATCTTATAATAAGTTTGAAAGCTGAAAAACATATAGATCGAAAAATATAAGATAAAATATAACATACAATCGAATAACAAAGTCCTCAGTCAGTAAATTCTGATTTAAAGAAAATACTCAGTTAAAAAACATCAATTTTTATTGCATTCTTATAGTATTTGTTATTTTAAAACCATGTTATATTTTTTAGCATTCATCCCCCGGATTAGAATAAATGAAACTTACCGTCCTGACTTTACAAAAATCTTAGGTCGCCTTTGTAAATGATACCTATTTCTATGTTAATTTTTATATAACTGTTAGAAGGCAATCTAATGATTGTTCTTGCTAACTGATCTATATTTTATATGATTTATATTTAATTGACTTCTTATCACTATTAGAAGGCAACTCAATGGTCATCATTTCTTATTGTGATTTTTCATTTGAGTCCATATTTTCAAAAAAAAACGGTTATCCTTACTTCTTGATATCAGGTGCAGGCTTAAATCCGATAGTACTGGTCAGGATGCCAAGCGCTTACAACAGCGCTACGAATCCCCAATTTATTTTATTTAGTATATATCTATCTATTTTTAGGAAACGCAACGTAAAGCCGGACTTCCAATGAGTTTGCCGTACGACAGTATGAGCCTGAAACAGTTGACACCACAATTGTCCAGACGGGAACCTCCTAAACCATTGTTCAAACAATTGGGTAAGAATAAAATCAATACTAAAATTTTGCCCTAGTTAATTTACTTTAATGTTCTTTGTGTAATTTTTTCCTAATTATTTCTAGATACGGAATTATCAGATACCGAGTTGTCGGATGCTTCTCCTGAAGGAGAAAAGACTGCGACTGTGGAACGAAAACTTCCAGTAAAAGACGAATTAGATCGCGCCGTACCTCAGCATGATCTTCTCGACGTTTCTGCTAATAGGAGCAAAGGAGAACTTGGCCAAAGAGGCGGACTTGCCAATAGGCAACTGCCATCCCAAGGAAAACGAAGCCTTAGCAATAGTAGTTCGGTGTGTAAAAGAATTATATAAATAATTCACCCATTGAATTGTTATATAAATTGAAACAAGATAATTATTCATTTCTATGATCATTGTTATCTTCTATTTTAGGACTATGGTCTTGACGAAAGCGAAGTCTCTTGTGATGAAGAAGCTCCAACTGAATCGACTTCTGTATCACACACAGAAAGTTCTGTATCAGAACTGCACACAAATTCTCACAGCCTGCCAACGCAAAGATTGGCAACTCCCGTAAACAATACTCCTCCTACTTACAACTCTGTCACAAATACCTCAATGGAGCAACAGAATTCATTGTATCATTCCACTGAACCTATTTATACTAAAGAAAAGGCAATTCTATCACATCACCTACATAATAATAGTACTGGTTACAGTACAACTACTGAAAGCTTGTATTCACATGCTACTCATACCAGAAGTAATATACCATTGAATGTGGCTGCTAACGAGACTGATGTATGGAGTAATGGTGTAACTCCGGCCGTTGCCAAACCTGCCCGAGGACTTGGTAAGGTTTTTATAGTTTTTTTTTTTTTTTGCATAGCTTTTGATTGTCAATCAAAATTTAAATACATATTTTAAGACAATATGATGTTGGTGTTAATGCATTTAAGAGATTATCTCCTATGAGATATCTCACTTATTTTTTTTATTTTTGACGTTTTATTTGAGATCATATGGCCATTTTTTTTTCAATCTTCGTGTGGGATATTCCTCGCTCAATTCTTTTAAATATTTGTTAGGGTGACCTGGTAGTTTTTTGTGGAATTTTTTGCTCCTTTCTGTTATCAGCTCATTAATAGTTTTTATTTTTAGGTCTTTATGTAGGGCGTCATTTATAACATACCAGGGTGCGTTCACAATGCATCTTAAAATTTTCGATTGCGCTCTTTGAATTATTTTTATATTTTAATTGCTTGCGCACGCTCATAGCTCAATGCCGTATGTCCAGATTGGAATAATTATTGTTTTATATAAAAGTAGTTTGTTTTCATAGCACATATTTGAACTCCTGCCAATTAGCCAATACAACTCTTTGAACTTCTTCTCCATCTCTTTTCTTTTCATTTTGATGTGCGTTGACCAGCTTAACTTCCTATCTAGATGAATCCCAAGGTATTTTACACTCTCATATTTCGGTGTTTCTATGTTGTTTATTTTCACGCTTGGGCAGCCCAGGGTTCTTGTTGTGAAGGTTATATGGCTAGATTTTGTTTCATTTATTTTAATCTTCCACTTATTGAGCCACTTTTCAAATTCGGAGACATATTGTTGTACTTTTGACGTTGCGACGGATGCATTTGTATGAGTTCCCATGACAACTGTATCATCGGCAAAAGTTCCAATTATGACATTGCTATCAGTTGGAATGTCGCGTGTATAAATGAGATATAATAGTGGCCCTAAAACACTCCCTTATGGAACCCCCGACTTGATGTTACATAATTCTGATGTTTCTGTGCCAACTCTAGTTCTGAATAATCTGTTTGTAAAGTAACTTTTCAATAGTAAAAATATCTTGTGCGGCAAAGAATTTTTTATTTTATTATACAATTTGAGTTATTATATCAACAGAAGTTTAATCTTACTTTTTTAGGTCCGCCATCATCTCTTGCTGAACAATTGAAACAAGTCTTAGCTGAACGTGAAAAACGATTAACGATAGATGGTTCAAACGCTGGTGCTGCTGGTGATTATTCAGATCCTAATAAGCAGAACTCTGCTTCATTGGTTACGCAACATCTGGTTGAAGAAATACGACAAGCAGTCAGTGAAGCTAATGCCAGAGGTAAAAATTATTAAAACATATTTAAACCAATTAACTGTAAGTTGTGGCAAAAATTAATGATATTAATATAATTATAATGCATCGTCTTTTAATGGATTGAACATTATTTTTTACAGTGAAAAAGGTAGTTCCATGCAACCTGTCTCCACCAGGATCAGTTCCTTGGTTGCAACAAGTTCCCGGTAGTCCATGCAGTTCTGGCTCAGTATCTCCTCTGGGCGGTGGTAACACCACTGATCACTCTCCAACCAGAAGTTCATCTATGGGTGATTCGTCCTGGTCAATTCATCAGCATCATTTGGCATCGTCGGCCCATGATTTGTCTACGAGTACTTCTAGTTTCGGTAGCGATAAAGTTCGTTCACATTTCTGGCAAAGCGCACCTGTATCTGAATGGTCTAAAGAACAGGTAATAAAGAAAAATGTATTATTATGTAATAAACAATTATGTAGTTTTTTGTAAATATATTTTTAATCAATTCAAAAATTAATTCAAACTAGTTGTTAAGTTCAAAGTTCTTTTTAACTTCCCGAAGAAGAAGTTTATGTTTTCATAAAAAAATCCGATTCGCTAATTTTATGTTTCCTCGACGTTTCAAGCCATTTTGAATCGAATGAAAAAAAAATTGGTAAAAGTATGTGTGTCAAGGCCGATTTTTATGGAACTTTTTTTGGCGATATATATATCATGGTCTTATAGGACTTACTGAAATATCACGGCATGACGATAAGTAGTTTAATTTTAAAAATTCATCAAAGTTTGAGAAAATATAGCTTTCTTAACATTTGTTAAAATTAAAATTAGACGATTTACTTGGTATAACGATAGAGTACTTGGTCTTAATGAACATACTAAACTATTAAAGTCCTACGGAAACTGGTTCAATTATACAAATTGTTGATTTTTGAAAATTTGCTTTTAGAAAATACTACGAGTTAACGTGTTTGTTAGTTTTCAATTATGTGTAATAAATACACTCGGAATATTTTTAATCACTCAGAAATTAATTTATTTTTGTTGATTAAGTCGATTATTTACACATATCGGGAAGGTCATGTAACTTGCCTCAAAGCAAAATACCAATACCAACTAGTCTTGTAAACATTTGTTTAGTCAATTTTAAAAATAATTCAAACCAGTTGTAACGTTCAAAATTATATCTATCCAGTTCACTGCATATAATTCCATGATTATGAATTTTTAAACTGAAATTAAAATGTACGAATCTATTGAAACTTTGAACTTAATTTGAGTTTTTCTTAAGTATGCCGAGGTGGTGAAGAAAAATAAAACAAATCAAGTTTCGATTGGGTAAGTTATAGTAATCGCAAAAACATCGGAAATAAAAATATTCATATATTTTAACGTTTCGAAGGATTTTAAACATTTTGGCATACCTTAAAAAAATGAATGTGTGCGTGTGTGTGCGGATACAAATTTTCTTCAACGGTTTTGAGAACACCCAACAACCGATTTGAATAATTCAAAAACATTCATTAAGGAGACGTGCTGAATAGTTTTTGGCCAATGCAGGTATAGCCGTTCCGAAGATATGGGGCAAAAAGTGCCAAAAACGGTAACTCAGTTTTTAAGAAGAACAGAGTATCCGATTTCAATAATTCAACTAGTGGTGCATGGCATCGCACCTTAAGGCAAATTGCTGGAACTTCCCGTACCAGAATTAAATATTCTAGCCATAAAATTAACAATCAATAAATATTGATGAATGATTAATTAGAAATGTTTTAAATATTTTCAAAGATAAAATTAATATTACAATATATTTATTCGTTCATAAAATATACAGTGACGATCTTATCACTCAATACACGAAAATGTTTACATAAAGAAGGGGCGCTGAATAAATCCATCTGAGGATATATTTCTTATTTTTACCAAAATTAGATTGGTAGTTTCTGATTGTCACTAAATTGCTTTATTAGTGAATAGAACAGGTTATTGTGCTTAACGTACTATATTTATTAAAAATAAATTTTTACGTTATAGGTATGCCAATGGTTACTTGCCTTAGGTTTGGAACAACACATTTCCAAATTTCTTGAAAATGCTGTAAATGGAGATTCTTTACTACAATTGGAATCGCGCGATTTCAAAATTTTAGGAGTCAGTGGAGATGATAAAACACGTCTAAAAAGAAAGTTAAAAGAATTAAAAATACAAGTGGAAAAAGAGAAGAAACAAATGGAAAAGGATAGAAAAGAACGAGATAAAATGATGCGAAAAGCAGAAAAACTAGCCGAAAAAGCCAGTAAGCGAAAATAAGTGGATATTAATTAATAATAAATAAACATGTGATTTGTTAAGTTATTTAAACTTTCATAATGAAAGTTTTACACTAACCAATTCAACAGTAATAATGTTGTATGTGTTTAAGATAGAACTTTTTACATTACGACCATGTGGATTCAGGGTTGAGATATGAAATTATATGAAACCTTTTATATTTTACCTTAGCATGACAGTGTAGTTAATATTATCTACATGTTGTACAAACTTTAGTTTGTAGTGATACCAGTCAATGTTTTTCTACGTTTTAATAGAACTAAGTTTTATACCTCGTGATTTTAAATATCAATGTTGAATTGTTGGTTTTTGTATATTATTTGTTTAAATTTGTAATTATAATATAGTTTTTTATAATTTTGAAGTATTAATTATCTATATATTTAACAAACTTTAATATAAATATTTTTGATGAAATGTATATTATTATTTTAGATAGTTTTTCTTTGAAAATTTTTATTAATATTATTATATGAGAACAATTTTGTATTCCTTTGTTAACTCTATGTAAGTGATAGTTAATTAATAATTAATGAGATTTATAGCATTTACTATTATGGCCTATACATGTAATTATTAGGTCTGTTTTAAAAGTTTTATGTTTTACATTTTACGTATGTGCTACTAAAATTTTGCTCATCGCATTTTAAGTAGCACAATAGATAAAAGCATTATTCATATTCATGATTACATTTGTGTATAAATTATACTCAACCATTTAAATAATGTACTTTTTTAAATGTCATACAAATATACCCAACCTTATTATAGAAATGTATGTGGTATGAATAAGAGCATTCTATGAATAACTGTAATATTCTTATACCTATTTCATTAATAATATTTATTGATGATTTAAAACATGATTTACACTTAATATATTGATAAATATATATAATGTGATCTATCACAGTTAATTTTTCTTATCCTTTATTATTTTGACATGCAGTTTTATAGAATGCTGCAAATTGTGTGCCATACACGAACAGAATTATCTGTTGAACTTAAAAATGAATTATATATTTCTTTGGTTGGCTTTATGTAGACTGATTATAGGATTAAAATATATTGAATCCGTAGAATGTTAGATTTAGACAACTATCGATTATAGTTATCCACAGTATTTATTTATACTAAAAGTTTAATGTATTGTTTTCAATCATATTAACAATGTAATAAGCCACTCAATATTAGTGATCAAACATTTATATGGTTTATAATTATTACATCATTCTTAGGTGTATGTGTATAAAACTAAATCTTATATGATTATACTGTAAAATATTTATTATAAAAGTTTAAAATATGTAACATGTTATTTAAATAAACATGTATTTAAATATGTCAAATCTTTATTTTATTGATTATAATTAACTATTAAAATTATAATAAATATAATAAAATTATTGTATTATATGTATATATATATATATATATATATATATATATATTAAATGTGTTAAATATGAACAATACAACACTCAAATTTTTAACACACACTTTATTTAATAATTACAGACGTTTTGAGACCATGGTATGCATCATCGTCAGTGTAATTTCAAAACAATAACTATATACTATTACAATTTTTAATATTTTATTTAAATTTTTTATCTATCTCTTACAATGCTTGACACAGTTTTTGTAAGTATTTTTGATATTTTTAGCTTTAAACCTTTATATAAATTTATTTGTGATTGAAAATTAAAATAGTTGAGAAATCTTCCACGATATTAAAACTCATGACTAATAGCATTTATTACCAAATGTTAAAAATGCAAACACATGGCATATATATATATATATATATATATATATATATATATATATATATATATCGATTCTTGCTAAATAATAATTCGAATATCAAAATATTGTTTAAATTTCGCGCGTGAATTAATGCGAAAGAAACTGCACCAGGTGGCAACACTGTCTCCCAAACAAGTTTACATGGTGAAGTTAAACCACCTTCATTAAATATAATAAATAAATAAGTATATTATTTCATATTTAAGTTCTATTTTAAGTGCAATAAAAATTTTGTTTGATAGAAAAGTGTTTACAAGTGAAAATAAATTTGTGAGATATGGAATAATATATTAATATTCCGAAAAAGTGTATCAACATAACCTGCAAAATATCGCACGTGTAAAATCTTAATAACCTCTTAATATTAATCTGTAGATATATTTTATATTAATATCTAAGTAAATAAATTAAAATGTCGTTCCGTGGACGTGGAGGCGGCGGTGGTCGAGGATTTGGTGGTGGTGGCGGACGAGGTTAGTTTAAAATCAAATAATTGTCTTTTAATATGTTATTAAGAGAATCATTGGCGATTTGTCCCACCTGGAGTCTTTTTATATATTTTATATAGTATCTACAATGTAGAATATATAATTTATTGATATTATGCAGAAGATACTTCACTAATTATGTATTACAAACCTTCAATGAAAATTTGCAGTCAGCTTAAGATACTTTTTTGATATAAGATTGTATGTAATTTTACATAAGAATTATGATCAAGTTTATGTTTTGTTTCTATATATTTTAAGAGAACATAGAAATCTGTTAGTATATTATATTTGATTCATTTTCTTGCAGGTGGTGGTTTTCGAGGAGGTCGAGGAGGTGGTGGTGGTGGACGAGGTTGGCAAGATCAAGGGCCTCCTGAGAGAGTCATACCTTTAGGAACGTTCAAGTACACTGCTCAAGATGACCTTGTTTGTAAGGTAACTTACTTTTTTAAATAAGATTAAAATGTCTTTTTAATCTCTGTTCGTTGTTTTATTACTAATTTTTAATGTTTTAGGTTGAAATTGAAGATGTACCATATTTTAATGCCCCTATTTACCTAGAAAATAAGGAACAGATAGGTAAAATTGACGAGATATTTGGAAATATAAGAGATTACAGTGTGTCTATCAAGCTTGGAGAAAATATGAAAGCAAGCAGTTTCCAACCAGAGCAAAAAGTATGTATAACAGAATAGTGTCTACTTTTATTTTTAGCTCGACTTGACTAACAAGACTTTATTTTTCAGCTATATATTGACCCTGCAAAATTGTTGCCACTTCAAAGGTTTCTTCCTAAACCACCAGGCTCTGTTGTTAAACGTGGAGGGGGGCGAGGAGGAGGAGGCAGAGGTAATTATGTTTCTATATTTATTGAGTTGAGGGGGTATTTTAGTGTAGAGGCATCAATTTCAAGTCATTGTAAAAAAGAGAATTTTTTTTTATATAATATGTTTATCAATGTTACAAGAATACATAATGAAAGAAAAAATAAGCAAAAGTTACTAATTTAAAAAATTAGCACTTGTTGAAGTGGGGTGCTCCAAAAATTGACACATAATCATGCTCACGATTCCTAGTCATCCGAAATAAATAAAAAGATTATCAATGTAGAATGATGCCTATTCAAACAGAAATTTGTCATAATGGTAACTGTTTCCAAAGAATGAGCATTTTTCTTACAACTTTTTATTTTTCAAAATTTTTTAAAAATAGTAAAAATTTAAATATGGGGATGAGGCTAGTATATGCCAGAGAGAAGTCTAAAAAGAAGATTTTCTGATTAGTTAAAGTGAATAGTTTTACTAGAACCAGGGAAATCATGAAACATGCAAAAAATGAGCATTTTGCTTACTACTTTTTAAGTTAAACAATTTTTTAAAAATAGTAAAAATTTTAATTTGGGGATGAGGCTAGTATATGCCAGAGAGAAGTCTAAAAAGAAGATTCTCTGATAATTTAAAGTGAATCGTTTTACTAGAACTTGGGAAATCATGGGCGCATTGTTGAAAAACTTAATAAAATTGAAGGTTTTGAGAAAAATATGTGTAAAGTTTTGCAAAAGGAAGGAAACAAAATAGGTTTATCATAGTCAAACTGCTATATCTTTGAAATCAACTTCAGTTTAAAAAAAGTCCTCTCTCTTTAATAGTTAAACTTTAAAAATATGAAACAAAATAAGTAAGTAAATAAGTAAAAGAAAAAATGACACTTTTGTGTATTTATACACTAGAATACCCTCTTAATGAGCATTGCTCCATTTTGAATTCTCCAATTATCTGAAATTTTACTGAAAAGTTGGATATTTTCATACTAATGAGTATAATGAATTGTTTATAAAATATAATATATAATATAAATGAATTGTTTATAAAATAGGTGGTGGTGGTCGTGGCGGTTTTGGAGGCCGCGGCGGCGGTGGCCGTGGTGGTTTTGGCGGTCGTGGAGGCGGTGGCGGTTTTGGAAGAGGCGGCGGCGGAGGCCGTGGTGGATTCGGACGAGGAGGCGGAGGTGGTTTTGGAAGAGGCGGCGGTGGCGGTCGCGGTGGTTTTGGAGGAGGCGGAAGAGGATTTGGCAACCGATAACCTCCAAAACCTAAATCTAACTGTAAGGGATGTGAATGATCCAATCTAAGTAAGCTGGATGAATGTTACAATTAAGCAGAATCATGTAAAGTCTATATATTTTATGAATTAGTAACGACTACAATAAAATATTTGTATACTCTTAAAATATTTATATATTGAAGTTTTAAGTTATACATTTTCTTTCATTTCTTCAAAACTTAATATAATAGTTTTACATTATTTTTTCAGATTTGTATCAAATTATTCATCATCAAAGTGAACATGTGAGTTTTTTACAGCTTTGGCTATTAGCTTATCTCTCCCTCTTTTTTCTAGTTTAACTTTCTTATTTCTTTTGTTATCTCTGTCTCTGGCCAATTTCTTCCAATATTCTTGCTCTGGTTCACCTGACAAAACTACTTGCGATGATATTTGATTCACCATTTCAATTATGTCAGGAGTATGTATTGATGTAGCTTCTTCTAATAGAGTTGGAAATTTTGAAGCATTTGCATTATCAGAAAATCTCAGGTGTGCATCTGAAGATCCTTCCTGATATCTATATACTTAATCTCCTCACTCACATTCTTTATTGCAGCCTGTAAAATCAATTTTATTTAATTGAGAAATTGTTAAAATACACATGTAAATGTATTATTAAAAACTGACCTTAAATCGCTTTACTTCTACGCAAGGTTCTTTGAGTTTCAAATGTACAATAACTCCTGGTGTGAATTCCACAGTGCTTGACGGTACTACTACCTCTTCCTGACCCATTTCTGTATTATCACTGCCCCCATAGAAATTTTGCTGGTACTGCACTGGATATTTTTGAGAATTTTCATTCACTCTATTCAAGTGCAGCTGTTTTTTTAATTGGCGCATTTTACTTCTTTGCAAATCAAGGTATTTGTTTCTTAATTTCTTCCACTCTTTTCTAAAATTAAATAATAAATATTAATTACTCCTGAAACTGTAACTTTATGACTAATCAAATATATGAACAATGTATTTACTTTGAAAGAATTTTCAATCCAGTTGAAGCAATACTTTCTCTGTATTTCTTGACTTGCTTCTTTCGTTTCCTTTTTTTCTTTTTGGCTTCTGGACATGTTTCTGCCTCATTATCCTCAGTTTCAACACCAGATGTGTTATCAGTTAAGATAGGTTTATCTACAGGTTTTTTTTCTGTATTCGTAGAGGAAGATTCTTGATCTGTTTTCTTTTCGGTGGTTTCTTTACTGGCATCAGCCTCAGATTTCAATTTACTTTTCTTTTTCTGTACTTGTTCATCACAACTTGAATCAGATTCGATGGCTTTACGCTTTTGCGTTTTTAAATTAGTATCAGTCTTTGCACTTTCATCCATTTTGGTTTCACATTTTTCTTGTTCGTTTTCTTTAGCTTTATTATTTTCTTTATCATCAACTTTTGGTTGATTAGGGTCCTCAAATGAAGTGATACTACATAAATCATCTGGATTCATCATTGGAAGCAATTTAGCACCGGCCTCTTCAAATGCTTCCAAACATTTGGTTGCAGATGCAGGATCTTCAAACTCAATGAATGCAAATCCTTTAACTTTTTTATTGTGTTTGAATCTAGGTACTGATATATAAGACACTGGGCCAAATGTCACAAATATATTACGAAGCCAATCATGGTCAATGTTTGGTGGGAGGCATTCCTGGAATGTTGATAGCGGGTAAGTTTAAAGAGTAATAAAATATAACGAAATAATTGTACTTACCACATATACAGTGCATTCATCAAGATTTGTCCTTTCCTTAATTGGAGTTACACGACATATCTTTTTTTCATCTTCAGACAATTTTAATATTTCAGAATTTGAAACAGATTTTGCAATGTCTTCAATATTATCAGTAAGAGATTTAATTTTATTAAATTTCAAGAACGTAGTCAATGGGATATCTGAAATAAGGCAATGTTATTAAATCACTGCAAATAATATTTAAATTTAACAAACGTACAAGGATCTTCTTTAATCAAAGCTCCAAGAAACCTGTCTTTAGATAAATTGGCATCTCCAAAATAAAATTCCATTTGTTTCAATATAGAATGGTAAAGCTGTTTCTTTCTATGACGAATCTTTTTCTGGCTTTCATTAGAAGGAACCGCCTTTTCCACTTTATTTTCACTCTCCATTTTTAATCAAATATTAACACAAATCAAATATTAGCAACGAATAAATAAATATTTCTTAAAATATAAGTTCTTCAGTTCGAAGTTTCACTTTGACGTTGGAAATAATGAGGTTATGAAAATGGCGCCTCAAACAACAATGTAGGCAACATAGTAATATTATTATTATATTATTATAGTAATTATTAACTAACAAATTTTATTAAAATTTTTTAAAGTTTTCGAAAAATTTTGAAGCTTTTTAAAAATTTTAATTTTCATTACAGAAAGTTCCAGCAATTTGCATTAAAGCACGATGCCATGCACCACGAGTATTATTACTGTTTTTTTATTACGTTGGTGATTCTATTTGTCCTACATGAAGTATGCATTTTATACATAGAAAAATCACGTGGCTGCTAAAACAACAAAACTACAAGAACTGTCAAACACATACCGTACATTAATACAGTTATACCATTAAAACATGTTTTATTTTCTTTCAAACTCAGTCATTTAATGGCACTGATCGCATCCAAGAAAATGAACACTTTCTCGTGCGCTGTTATCAGTGTAGTGTGTAAATTTATGTGAAAACATTGAGCAACTTCTAATTTTAACAATGATGTCGAACGGACGGGAACACAAGTATATTTATAATATGTTTTATAGTGAAAGACTAAAGCTTTGCAGACTTCTTGACGAAAATGATAAATGGAAAGAACTCGCAGGGCATATGCAATTTGATGTTTGTACTGTGCAGGTGAAAAAAACTATTATTAAATCTTGTATCAGTAATAAATCTAATCAAATTATAATACACCATGTCTGAACAAACTAAAAACTTTCTACATATGTACAAAATACATACAATTATTCTAAACATTTTTAGCAAAGATGCTAAAAAATATCCTTTGGAAGTGTTTACTTTAGCATTCAGATGTCTTCAGTCATTTGTTCATATATGGTGGCATTCTTTCTTCCAATTTCGATTACATCCCATTTAATAATCAACATATTAAATTAAAATGTATTATTTTATATCATAGATTTTTGTTAAAAACTCTTCCCTATTTTAATTCCATATATGAAATTTTCATTTATCACTATTTTGCGTTTCTTGGGTTTTGCCCACTTGTTAGTCATTGCGATTTCATTAGAAATTATATACATTTCTGGTGTATTTATTATGCATTCAGCAAATTTATGTAAATATTTTGCATTGTAATTAAACATTCATGAATTTTTATTATACCTTTTTTTTAAATTTATTTATTTAGCATTATATATTTTTCCATATCTCAGTCAGACAGGAGTGCCTGGTATAAGAATTTTGGGTAAATTTATACATTTATGCATATATGTCTATATAGTTTATATATATTTAATAATACTATATATAGTCTATGCATATATTTATCTATTTTATATTACTTTATTTTAAAATATCTGATTTATATAAAAAATTAAGTACAAGAGTCCTATTTAACTAATAAAGTTAATTTTGGTTATATCTGGTATAGTTTTTTATCTTATTGTTAGAAAACATAAAAGTTTTAATATAATCAAATAGTTTATTTAACTGGTAGTGCATGGCATTGTGTCTTGAGGCAAATTGCTGGATCTTCCCGTACAAAAAATTAACATTTTTAAATAAGCTGTAATATTATTTAAAAACAAAAAAATTGAATTTTGAAATTTTTGAAAAAAATGACTTTGAAAGTTTGAAATATTTTTTATATTTTGAAACTTAAAAAAAAATTAAATTATTTTTAAAGCAATCGTGGTGCGTAGCTGTTTCATGGACGAAATATCGAAGCGCGTAAGCGCCGCGTCTCAGTCTAACGATAAACAGTAGTACCGAACCCATAGATATGTAAACAAAATTTTAACTTATTATTGATGTCCGACAATTCGATGTACATTTGTCTAATGATATTTTTTTATTGTTAAATGGTGTTTTTTTACTTTATTTATCGGATCTCCCAAACTCTTAGATTCTTCATTTTGTCAATACAAAATGTTTTTTGAATCATTCAAATCGGTCGCTACGTTCTCTTCAACACTAAATTACCATTTTTGGCACTTTTTGCCCCTTCTTCTATTCTTCTATCTTCTGAACGGCTGGACCTGCCTTTGCCAGAAACTAATAAGCACGTCTCCTTATCAATAGGAATCGAATGTTATTTGAATCATTCAAATCGGTTGATCCGTATTCTTGAAATCGTCGACAAAAAATTGACAAACATACATTCATTTATTCTATGGTATGCCAAAATGCTCAGAAATTTTTGAAACGCAAAGATATATAAAAATTGGCATTTTCATAAAAAAAATAAAATTTCTGTGACAATCTTGGCAAAGTATAATCACAATGTGCGCCAAGTTTCATTAAATTCGCAAAATTCGCAAAATTCTCAAAATTCGCTTTTGAGAAAACACCATAATGCACCTAGGCCGAACGTGCTCTCAACCTGAAATTAGGCTAGTTTCAGGTCAAAGTGCAATATCGCATATCTTGAAAACTACCGTGTGAACCAATTTAAAAATTTGGTCACAATCTTGATAAAGTATAATAACAATATGTGCCAAGTTTCATTGAATTCGCACGATCCGTTTTTTGAGAAAATACTATGGTGCACCTAGGCGAAAAGTGCTCCCAACCTGAAACTAGGCTAGTTTTAGGTCAGAGTGTAATCTCGCATATCTCAGAAACTACAGTATGAACCAATTTAAAAATTTTTTCACGATCTTAGTAAAGTATAATAACAACGTGTGCCAAGTTTTATTAAATTCGCAAGATTCGCTTTCGAAACTTACCCTTTTGACAAACTTACCTCTCGGCAAGAAAATTTTTAAATTATTATTCGATAATATATTTTTCTTGTATATTTTTATTTTGGCCAAAACTTAAATTTATATGTTACTGTTAATTAATTTCTGGGATATTCTTTATTAGTTAATTCAATATTGCAGTAGCAATTACGCA